AAAAAAAAAAGAGCATGCAATTGCAAGTTTAACGAGTCTTCAAACTTTGTTTTGAATTTCACCTTTAAAACAAAAAGCATTGAAATAGGCCTGTGGTTTGAGTAACCCTGCTCCGTTAAGTACCTGAATCTTTCCCCCTCCAGGCTGTGTTCATTTGCATTTTATCGCTGCCACTCTTCCACACTTGTATTTCACTCTTGACCCTGTTTCTAGGAGATGTGCGAGTAAGAAGTCGGGCAGGATTTGAAACAGAGAGAAGAGATTCTCATCCATACATTGATTTCCGTATTTTTCACTGTAAGTATTTAAAAGCAGATAAATGACAAATAAATACAGGCTTCCATTAATTTTAATTACCGAGCCTCTAAAAATAAATTCAGCTGCTTACGTAGCAAGACCGCTTTTATATTTCTTAGGAAATTCTTTCATGCTACTTAATTACCCAAAAATAGAACAGTAAAAAATCACTGCTATATATATATTTCTTTTTCTAAAAATAGAGTTTAAACTTTCCTTTCTAGAATTTAGGCCCGAGTCCCTATGGAAAAGAAGACTATTCTATATATACAGCTACTGCTGTGTGTACTGGAAGATGCAAGGAGCTGAGAGGAATACGTCCCTRCTTTTATAGAGCAGCAGGAGTATCTGCAGCAGGATGATGTTTGAAGGGAATTGCAATAGATTGCAGTATTCTTGACTAGATAATAAATCACTTAAGCTTTTGTTTACTCAAACATATAGTTAGGATTTAAACTGTTCAGAGGTCGAAAATCTAAAATAAAGATCTCAAGCCTTACATAAAGGATTTGTTGGATAATCTCACTTCTCTTTTCAATCCATATCTAGATTGTTAAAACTAAATATGCCAGTTCTACTTGTAATATAAATGCTGCAGAAACCACCGCACCTGAATATGCTGTAAAAGTGCAGGTATTTAAATCTAACTTTAGTGATACCGTTAACGCTCATGTAGTAAGCATCATCTTAGCATATCTGTACCAGCATTATTTGTATCAGTGCAATTCGGAGCACTCTGAATGCGATGTGCAAATGTAGAAAGAGGGTTTCATGGTAACAAGTGTGGTTGTTGTAAATACATTACGGATAAAAATGAGTGGCAGAAACTATGGTAATTAATATTCTTAAGTTATTCRTTTTGAAAGTAGATCATGACTTAAATGTAAATTTAAACTCTTCTTCAACAAGTTAGTTTCATTAAATAGGTGAGAAAACAAAGTTTGAAGAGTATGGTATACCGAATTTTTCAATAAAGGGGATAAGGATTCTATCTGTATGGCATTTTATGCTGACATGGGAAAAGTTTTTTGAGTGAAATATATGCATTGTAAATCAGTCATGTATGATATTATTGCCATTGTCAAATTAACTGTATTTTTGGTGGTACTCATCATGTTATTTCCATTCCGCTGGTTGTCCATTAGGCAAATGATGACTAAGAAGGAAGAGGATTTCTCACACCCTTCCTTCTTGCCTCTGCTTGTCTGGGCACAGGCACCGGCTTTCAGCAGCATCCACCGCGGTTTCTGATGACAGCAAAGAATGTTGCTAGGAGGCCCAGAAATTCCTCGGCTGCAGCTTTTCTCCCGAGTCAGCTCTGTGGCAGTTCCCGGAGCGGCTCTTGTTGCAGCCGTGTTGCCCTGGACCTCAGCACGGGCGCCAGTCGCCGTGTCGCTCCTTGGCCGTAGCCGCCTCCGAGGTGCCTTCCGAGCAGGCGAGGAATTCAAACCCTGCTCCCGCCCAACAGGAGAAGCCATAAACCTGAGGTTATCTAGTCACTTGCAGAAATGGTAAAAAGACAAACAAGCAGAAGGCCCTGCTTGAAACCTCCTTTCTTTCTCCACGCAATGCTAATGTAGCCCTGATAGGAGATTACTCGACTCTCTGAAGCAGAGGAGTTCTAGTGCTTTACAGGCTGGAGGAAGAGAGGAACTGTGGCACTCGGGCTTGACTCTGTTCTGGGAGGATTTTGCACAGAAAACCAAGTCACTGAAAAGCGTTCACCTGCAGGAGCAATAGGCAGCCAGGTCGCCGTGTCGCTGCCTGGAGCAAAACCTGCCCTGGGGCAGGCCTCTGCTGCAGAGCAGCAGCCGGGAGCTCCCGGTTTGCCCCGTGCCTCTCGGTGCTGAACATGAGCAGTGCGTGGACAGGCTCCCTTCATGGGGCTGTCAAGTTCTGCTGCAGCTTCCTCTGCCGTTGGCCAGCTTCAATGTGTGATTCTGAACATTTTGCCATGATCCTTACTTACTCGTTTCCAGCTAACTAATACATATTAAATACTGTTTGTTGTTCACGGTGTGGGAGCATTATTGTCCTTTTGTGTTTTGCTCAGCCAATTTGTTGTGTTACAGTCTTTTCTCTCAACAATGTCTTTGATGAACTTCATCGTCTTCCAGGAAGTCCAGCTCATAAACTTCTACCAAGTCCTTCAGTGTTTTATTAATAGATACTTAACTCAATGTTTTATTGATAGGTTTGAAGAGCAAATTATTTTAAAGGCTACTACTTTATTTTTGAACCCCCCCTTTTTTTTCCTGTGATAGAATAATTTATGTTTCACAATTCTGAATTTATTTCCAATTTTGATAGCTGTTRCCAACAACTCTAGTAAAGTGTGTTAACATCTAGTGCTTACTAGATGCTTACTCACTCCTGTTTCTTTTTAGGGATTGAGAGATGAATGTCTATATTTTTCTCCCATTTCTACATCTTCATTCTTGAATTCCTTGAGCACTGCATGAAAATTCAAGTTTCTGAATTAGTTAGAAATGTTCCCACCATCAGCTTTTTTAAAAATAAGGTTTTTAAATGATTATTGGAAAAAAGTGTCTTTTTAGGATGTTTTACTGCTATTGAGAGGTTATCAGCAGTGTCTGTTGTTATTACATATATGCTTAAACAAACAAATCTCCTGTTGATTAGGTTTGGGAAGATTTGCAAACATGCAAAAACAAAAGGATATGTAATGTCCCCCTTCACACACTCTTCCATCTGGAAACAAGTTGAGCTGAAATGTCCCGTGTAACATACKCAAGTGTGTTACAGTGAGGAAATGAAGGCAGAATATCCTGAAATTAAGAACTAAAGAATGACAAAATTTGGGGATGTGTCTAGTGAATATTAATACTTTCAAGCTTGTTGTCTTTTAAGGAGAAGTTGCTGGATATGGAACTGTATAAAAACACCCCTGTAAGACCTGTGGGGAGGAAGCTTTTTTTGCCTTTCCTGTTGTGCCTGCAGCAGAATAGATAAGGGCTTGCCAGAAGGCTTTGGGCTTTCATGAGCTTCTAAACATACCTACTGCATGGTGGGGATGTTGCCAACACGCAGGGCTCTGCTTTCTGTGTTACAGGTATCCAAGTATGTTACATCTGTGAGTTAAAACATGTGAGGTGAGAAAGGGGTTTTGAGTCAATCAGTGCACAGTTATCAGTAAGCATTTAGGGATGATTCTGGTTTAGATGGAATTGGTGCAACACACAGTGCAGAGCTTCCTAGKGGAGAGAAAATTACCTGGTAGGAAGTTCTTTGAGGAAGGGTTTTTTGCTTTCTCTCCTTTCCTCCCTGGTTATGTATGGAGCCTTTCTGCAGGAGAGGAGGGGAGAAAAGTCGAGTTAGGTGACTTTCTTCGGTGGTGGATTCATTTTGAGTCCAAGTTTGGGGTGTCTTTGTGTAAGAGCACCCAAATGTGCTTGTGAAGATGCCCTCTAGAGGCTGGGATAAAATAAATGTGATCCAGGTGAAGCTGGATGCGCTGTTTTGTTTCAATAAAACAGAGGACTGACCTAGGAGAATCTCTTCTAACCAAAGCCTTAACTGCCTTTCTTTCTGTTCAGCAGTCTATTGTAAAGAAATCTGAATTTCAGAAGGCATAAAATTATGCAAGAAGATTTTTTTGATCACACAATCACTGTGTGGTCAGGCACTGAAAGAAGTGTTCATTTCCCCCTGAGGATTCCGGTGAAGGTGAAAAGTTTGCACTGAGTTCCCTAAAAGCTGCCCTTTTGGTGAAGGGCGTGCTCTGAATTTGTCATCTAATTGTGCCTAATCTGGATTATTAAAATAATTTTCCTCCTCCAAAGGAGAGAAATTTTGGCTTGTGTTTCATGCAGTCATATGTGGGGAAGTCACAAAAGGCTGTTCACAGAAAATGTTATAAATATAGCTCCGACCAAAAAAAAACCCCACAGCTGAGCTAAACTTGAAGGGAAAATATTCTTGTGCTTCGTTAAGTAAGATTGYAGGGCTAAATCTTTCAATTAAGAGTGTAATTAAGAATTATATTTCTATATAATAATAATAATTATGTAATTTCTATTTAATAATAATTCTATAGAAGAATTCTATTTCTATATAATTCTTCTATTTAGGAATATATATATATTGCTTAGTGAGATGATTTTTTTTTTTGGTACAAACGTCTTTTCACATTTCTCTCAAACAGTATGTGTGGTTTGCAGTCTTGCACTGGTGCTGCAGTTCATTGCACTGAGGTAACTTTATGGAAGAAGATGCTCTGTTTTTCTTTTCTTTTTTTGTTTAATTTCTTCCGAACCTCTCAAATGTCGTCTTCTTCAAGGTGATTTCTAAGGGTTTTTTTTTTTTTTTTTTTTTTTTTTTTTTTTTTTTTTAAATAATACCTAAAGCACGTGAACCTTCTTTTTTGTTTTCACCTGTGTTCATGGTTACTGGATTTACTGCTCATAATTGTACAGCCCTGTAAAGGATCTTCTGGAGATCTTCAGAATCCCCTTTCACTCAATCCTCTGCCCCATGCTCTAGGTGACCCTCTGTGTGCAGGGGATTGGACTAGATGACCTCTAAAGGTCTCTTCCAACCTTAACCATTCTGTGATTCTGTGAATTCCTCTCTTTCTGGGGAGGAAATGGGCAGAAGGGATTACTTGGTGGTTTTCTAATTCCATCATCATAGGAGTGGAGAATTGTAGGACACCCAAGAACTGTGTTTCTGGAAGACATGACAAGTAAAACTCCAGTGACGATCTGTGATATTACCCTTGCTTTGGGTAAAAGAGTTGCTGAACTGTTCCCGTCACGTACTTTAAGAGCATCCATCTCTTGACTCAAAATGGAGAGACTTCAGGATAATCCATTTTTACGAGGAATAGGCCTGTGTTGTGATGTTGTTCCTCTAAATATTCAGCTTTGGTAGAGTTTCTTAGTTCAGACCGTGCGGTTGCCAGCTGCACGTGCACTTTGCCTGGCACGTGGTGCCCAAGAAAGGAGGCAGGGAGGCGAGGGCCGTGGTTCGGAGAATCGGCAGCACAAAGTTGTGGGGTGGCCAGTGCTACACAGCCTGAACCCTCTCAAACCACCCTGAAGTGCGAATCACAGAAGTGAAGAACTTTTGAAGAAGAGCCAAGTAGCAAAACTCCTAAAATCTTTTTTTTTTTTTTTTTTTTAATATGCATTAATAGACTACATTTCCAAATAGTTTTAATGGAAATTAGAATGCTTATAGGTCCCTCTAGTGGTCTGAAGTGGAAGAAAACTTAGAAACATTACGAACGTTGAAATTGCTCATAAATACAAAATGATTTGTATGCTGAATGCCATTGAAATACAACTTYAGTACTGAATATTTCTTTCAAATCTGCGTATTTAGAAGTGATGGGAAGTTTCTAATATTACTCCAGTTTTGATGGTAATACCTGTTGCATGAAAAAGATGACAAAAAATTTTTAAGCAAATGTGTAGTTGGCTTGTTACAGAAAGTTTGTAAGGAATTATTCTTATGAAAAGAAAAAGGATTCCTTTTGGTTTGTTTTCCTTTTTTTTTTTTAGAAGAGAAACAACTCCTCTGGTGGACTTGTGCACCTTAAACTTCTGTTGTCAGTTCAATTATACGATAAGAAAGGTCCATCCTCTCAAAAATTCTTTTCTTCTTTTTTTTTTTTTTTAAATTTATTAGCAATGATATCTAAGATCCTCAGCTAAGCACTTTCTATTCATGATGCTGATAACATCAAATAACTTCTGTCATGGCTAAATTCCTATTTACCTTTTTGAGGGAAGAAATGCAAGATAAAGTTCTTATCCTGGGTAGCCTTGTCCTGAGCAGGAACCACAGGAGGTTGATGGCTGAAGGGTTTAACTAGGGTTTGAGTGTTTTATAATTAGAAAAAAAATCGTTCTTCCTTCCATTATAATTTTTACTATATAAGAGGTGAAATACATTACAAATTCTGAAAATATATCAGTATTTCATAGAAAATGCTTCTATAGGCAATGCTTTTGAACCTTTTCCCCCTATATTTTGTATTTTTATTTGTGTGTGAGAAAATTAGGAAAATTAGGTGTTTAATATCCCTGTACAATGTAATAATATTGTTTACCTTTAGCTTTTCCTGAATTACAATACACGTAAGAGTGGGAGACTGYTAGAAGAGATTAAAATAGAATTTAAATAGGTTGCCTTAAAACAACTTTTTGTTCTTTTATTTTCTTGGTGTTTGTGTATAACAATCAAAATAACTGGGATTTTTAAACAGAAGTATTCCTTTTTTTCTTTTATTTTAGAGAGAGACTTTTTGGCTTTTATCAGATTCTCATTTAAGATGATTAGAAACCAGAATATAACCATTTTAATAAAAAATAATTTGGAAGTTAGAAATACATTGGCTGATGTAGGGAGCGACTTTAAGTAGGGAGCAAAGCATTAACAAAGCAAGGGTGCCCTAGTGGAGCTGTTGCTTTGGAGGCRCAAAGATCTGCAGTTTGTCTTTGAATCCTTATGTCCCAGCCACTTCCAAGTCTTGCAGCCTCCTCCTTAACATTTTCAACATCCTTTAATCCCGTTTTTTATGAGCATAAAATGTTATTATGTATTTTAGTTTAAGGGCTTTTAGTTTGCCCTTAAACTGTCCAACACTTGAGTGTGTGGTTGGTTTTGCGCATTATAAAGGCATTTAGCACATTGAAAGCTCCAAGTAAAGTGAAGGGCATTGGGGGAAAAAAAATGTGAAGCAATCTGGTCTGAGCAAACGCAGTGCCCTCGTTACCTCAGTCCTGTGGGAATCCAGGACAGCAGCTTGTTTTTGGTGGGGTCTCTGAAATTCGGATCAAGTTTCTCGAGCCTCGATAGCAGAGGCTACGCAGACATCATCTTATTAATGGTGTATGTAAAGGGAAGAAGCTTTCCTCCTTGCCAGGAGGCRGAGGGTTAGGGGTTAGTTAGGGTTAGTGCTTTCCAGGGGCCTTGTGTGGTTGGCACCCCGGAGCTCGGGCTTGCTCCTTCCCCTCCTCCTGCCCCTGAGGAAACCTGTCGGCCTGGCCCGTGTGGCGGCAGCTTACGAAGCTCCCCCTTTGCAAGCTCCCTTTTCTTTTTCAGCCTTCTYCTTAAATTAATTGCCTGTCAAACCTCCACATCTGACTCACCTATCTTGAGTTGTCCTTAGCATATATTTATCTGTTATAAGAGAATAATCCCCTTCAGGATTGCTGTAGTCTGCCTGAGTCAGGTGTTCTGCAATTGCAGGGCTCTCTGAACATCTCTTGTCTCCTTTGGAAGTTATGCTAATCATTGCAGATCTGAATGACAAGACAGTTTGGCCAAGCTGTTATTACTGCCACGCAAACGCGGGATGTATATGTGAAATAAATAGTCATAGCTGCATTGGCGGCCAGAAAGCTGGAATGAAGGAGGCTTTGTTCTTGCTTGTTTCTATTACACCAGCTGCTACAGGACTGTTTTTTTAACCTGCAGGAGAAAAAGAAGGATTGCTGTGTAAGGGAAGTAGGTTCTGAACTGCACAAATGGATGATCTCTCTTTTTTTTTTTTTTTTTTTTTTTTTGGATGTCTTGTTAGTATATTATAAAGCAAAGCAGTAAAGTAAAACAGAACTAGACTTCCAGTAACCACACTTCTCTGTTGAGAGCCTTGCTTGCGAAATCTGTGGAGGGCCTAAACACTCTGAGATTTAGCAGCATGACAGTGGAAATAGCTTCTTGTAACTATAGGTTTGTAAAAGACTAGTTACGATCAAGAAAGACTTCTTATATTCTGAAGACTGATAGTTTCTCCTACTAATATGTTTTATTTGCTGAGATTTAGAATCTGGATTTTGTATTTGAACTTGGGGACAGCTTAGGTCTCTTCTGTTATTTCATTTTGATCTTCTGTTATTTCATTTTGAACCCTCAGGGTCTTCAGGAGAAGTGTCCTTAGTTGTGATGACTTAGACAAAAAAGTACCACGGCTGAAGTTGTCCGTGTTTCTTCTTGGAGGTGGATGGGACCTTGGATATCTTAGTATACTGCCCGATGAGTTTCAGGCATGTCTGAAAAATGACTCCAATTTTGGCAATATTATTTCTGTTTTTACAGACTGCTAAAGTGGAATGTCACTGCATTTTATTTGGTGTTGTATGTTACTGTAACTGATCTCCATGCTATTCAAAGACATTTTATTAGCATAGACTGGAACCAGGTGTATTAATGAGAAGGTGTAAAGCAGCAAGGTGGAAACCTTTGCCAGAGTGGGAATGGTGAATTTTCCTCTTGGCTGATGTGGAACTACACTGCTCTTACTGGAAGTCACTGAACTTGTTGATTCAGGTGATTAGTAAGCTGTTTACTGAGGGCACAGTTGTGGAATGAGGTGTGCACTGAGTGTCTCTTCAGTGGTCTGTGAAGGGCCAGACCCAGGGCACTGGGCTAAGAATCAGAGCTGCGGTGCCCTGCGGACTCTGTCTCCTGCTCTGCCTCTGCTGCCAGCCTTACAGCCAGCTTGTAAAGGTTAAAAACTTCGTTCATTCCCAAACTGCCCTTTTCTAGGGTGCAATCAACTTTTTGGATTAGCTCTATTTGCAGCAAAACAGAGTCTRCTTGGGTAAAGTAATGGACTAGTATGTAATCTAAACTAGGCAATTAGTTTTTAAGTGGCTTAGCAATTAAAGACCATAGCTTTTGCTTTTAAAAATCAGTCTTATTTCACCTGTGTTTAATACATCTTGTTCACAGAAGAGTGAGAGGTCTGTATAGCAGAGTGGGGCTCATGCTGGTTTTAAGGGTATGTATTTTTGGTTAAAAGCATGGATGTACCAGCTTCCATGAGCATGAATAATGCCTTCACTCTGYTTTATGTAACACTGTTTAGGCAAAGTGATGAAATATCGAGATTATTAACTGTCAGTTGCAGACAATTGCTGTTGAGAGCCTAACAGATGAAAATATAAAATTGTAAGCTACAGGCAGTCCTCTGAAACTTACACTGGTTAACTTACTGAAGGTGAACTAAAATATTTGGACTATTCTTTGTGAAAAAGCTAARAACTTTTGTATTGATTTTACTGTACTGAGAAAAGGAATTACAGATAATGACAACATAAATGCGAGGCTTTTTTCTGCAGTTAGGAGGAAAATTATCTGCAAAAGCACTTAAATCATGTGAGGGTTTTTGAAATTTTGCCAGCGCCTTTTAAACTCCGTATACAAGTTATTTGTTGATGTTCAAAACATTCTTGTAACTCCTGTATGAATTCTCTGTTGCTTCTGTGTGTGATTAGCCAGGAACATGGGTTGAATATATGCCCAGGAAAGCATTTTTCCCCCAAGAACCTGTTTGCAATACTGTGTGTTATACAACTTCCATTGTAATTATGTCATAATGATAACAGCGTTCAATCGAAGAATRTTTTATTTGTATTTTACACATCTATTTTTCTTCACTTGAAGCTTAAATAAGTTTTTATTTATAAGCCATGGCTAAGTGTATTTTATTAATCAAGATCTCTGTTGCTGATACATTTGATTCACCAATATTGAAATAGGTAAAATAAATAAAAATTTACAGGTTGTTTCTTTTACCAGGTTTCTTTGAGCAGCTCTTTAAACTGTTACCTTTGAATATTTATTTTCTTATTTTTTTCCAGCAAATTCTGAAATTGAAGTATCTGTTTCTGCGAGAAATGTCAGAAGATTGCTTAGTTTCCAGCGATACCTGAGATCTTCCCGTTTTTTCCGTGGTATCACTGTTCCAAATTCTTCAAATATTTTAGATGATGATTACAATGGACAAGCAAAGGTTTGTTGTTTGGGTTTTTTTTTTTCCTTCTTAAATATTCAGTAGCATACATTTATTTCGTGGTGAGAAATATTTAGTGTAAGCAGATGTAAATTTTGTGTATTTTTTTTATATTTGTGTATATGTGTGTGTGAGTGTATGTACATGTATATAGACACACACAAATATATATAACATATAAATATGTATAAATATAACACATATATATATTTGAAATAATCCTTCTCTGAAGGTGATTTCTAGCAAATTCTGTCCCTTCCCCTCAAGGCTGTTGGGATGATCTTTAGGGCTGATGTGGTGGCACTTTCTAGAAGAGGAAAGCACAGCAGCTGTAACCTAGCTGTGCTGCAGGTCAAGTGTTGGACAGAGCTGGGACAGTCCTGGGAAGATGGGCAGTACTGAAAGAGCTGTTACTGGGATGCACTGCTGGCTGCCAGGGAACTGAGGATGGGTAGTGCTGAGGTGGAATCAGCAGGAAATGTTCCCAGGGATCAACTTTTCATGATCCCAAAGACTGTTTCTTGATACTGACTGCGAGTATGATCAGGCTACAGGATAGGGAGAACCTGAGATTGAGGAGGATGGAACTMAAAATATATTTGTAATTTCACAATAGCAGGATCTTGTTAATGCAGTTTAGTTCTTCTGGTAACTCTGAATTCTCTAGTTTCTCTGAGCATGTGGAGGACAGGAAGGTGATCAGGAGCTGTCAGCATGGATTCACCAACAGCCAAACTGAAAGCCGCCTGTGGTGGCATGACTGGATGGATGGATGAGGGGAGAGCAGTGGATGGTGTCTACCCTGACTTCAGCAAGGCCGTTGACACTGTCTCCCATAACACCCGCATAGGCAAGCTCAGGAAGAATTGGTCAGATGAGTGGCCAGTGAGATGGATTGAGAACTGGCTGAAAGGCAGAGCTCACAGGGTGGTGCTCAGTGGCACAGCTGGAGGCTTCTAGCTACTGGTGTCCCCCTGGGGATAGTACTGGGTCTGATCTTACTCAATGTCTTCATCAATGACCTGGATGAAGGGGGATAGTCCTCCCTCTGCACRCTGGCTGGAGACTGCGCTGATTTTTAGAGGGACCTGGACAGGCTGGAGAGATGGGTGGAGAGGACCTCCATGAAGCTCAACAAAGGCAAGTGCAGGGTCCTGCTCCCAGGGAGGAATAACCTCATGCTCAAGCACAGGCTGGGGACTGACCTGCTGAAGGGCAGCTCTGCAGAGAATGTAGAAATCCTGGTTGACAACAAGACGACCGTGAGGCAGCAGTGTGCCAGGAAGGGCAATGGTAGCCTGGGGTGCATCAGGAGGAGTTTTGCCAGCAGGTTGAGGGAGGTGATCCCCACTGCTCTACTAAGGTCTGGTGAGGCCGTATCTGGAGTATTGTAGGCAGTTCTGGGCACCCCTATCCAAGAGGGACAAGGAGCTGCTGGAGAGACTTCAGCAAAGGACTACAAAGTTGATTAGAGGACTGGAGCATCTGTCCAGTGAGGAGAGTCTGAGAGAGCTGGGCCTATTTATTCTGAAGGAGAGAAGACTGAGAGAAGATCTTTGATATCAGTGTGTGCAACTGCCTTAAGGGAGGGTGTCGAGAGGATGGGCCAGCCGCTTTTCAGTAGTGGCCAGTGACAGGACAAGAGGCAACAGCCACAAACTGAAGCTTGGGAAATTCTACCTGAATTAGAGAAAGAACTGCTTGACTATGAGGGTGACAGGGCACTGGAACAGGCAGAGAGGTTGTGGAGTCTCCTTCTCTGGAGATCTTCCAGACCCGTCTGGACGTGATCCTGTTCAGCGTGGTCAAGGTGACCCTGYATGCGCAAGGGGGTTTGGGCTAGATCTCCAAAGATCTCTTCCAGCCTTAATCCTTCTGTGATTCTGAGAGTTCTAGTGGCTGGTGGAGAAAAGCTAAAACCTGGTAACTGGGTCACCAAACAACTCTACCTATCTGTGAAGAAGGCAAGTACTTATTGCCAAACATGTTGGAGAGGTCGTTCTGATAGAGGAAGAGGAGGAGTAGCAAAGATTACCACTGGTTAATCCCTAGTGAGGCCTAGGATGTTGTTTGTGGTTCTCATTCTTCAAGTCTGTAGAGAGATAAGTTCATGTGGAGCAACTGCAAAGTGCAAGTTGGATGAGGTGGAGAGTGAGGAGCTGGTTTCTCTAGAAGGAATTAAAAGCTTSTCTTATTTGTATAGTAAAGCGTCTAGATTTTTTGCTTTTGTATATGCAAAAAGGGAAAGAGAAGTTAGGATAAGAGGCAAAATATAAATTCACCATATGTTCTTTCTGTTTTTATCTAATTTAAAAGAATTAGATAACATGTAATGGAAAATAGTTGCAATTCAATGTGCAATTACAATATCAATATCAAAGTAGTTGAAAACAATTTTACATCTCACTACTAATAAGAAATTGCCTAAGTGATAACAGGAAAATCTCGAACTTCTTTGCATAGTACTGTCAAGTCACTTCTCATATTTTGATTTCTAAAACTAATTTTAAATTTAAAAATCTTGAAATTTAAAATGAAATTGTAGCTCTTGACTTTTAGGCAAGCTTAATAATTCTTTTAAAGCTGATTTTTTTATACGTAGAAGTTTTAATACTTGCATCTGTCACTGAAATGTGTAATAGTCCTCTGGGCTGAGGGCAGATATAAATATACTAAGAAAAAAAGGTTACAACTTTTTTGTTTYCTTTCAGTGTATGCTGGAGAAGGTTGGAAATTGGAATTTTGATATCTTTCTTTTCGATAGACTGACAAATGGTAAGTTTACTTCTGCTATTTCATAGATTTTCCTTTTGCTATTTCATACATTTATTTCTTTTAGCGCAATGGGATGTATCTGCTGCCCTTGTGTTGTGGCGTGTGAATGCTTGTTTGTTGTTGTGAAGTCTTTAAATTCTAGTTTGCCTGTCCACTCTGTTAAAATGCCACTGCTGTTGGTACTGGTGATAGTCATTAATGAGCATAACAGCACCATCCTATACTTTCTAGGTTGCTGTTTCTTTTTTTCTTTTTTTTTTTTTTTTAATTTATTACTGTTACAAGATTGTAAGTATTAATTTTGATATAAATTAATAAACAAATTTGCTAATATAATGGTTAAAAAGATACAGAAGGCTGTTAATGTGTCTGTGTCCAAAGTGTCTGTTATACTGAACAGTGAGCAGAAAAAGAAGAGAGATGTGTAAACGTGCTGGCAGGTAGCGAGGCTGCTGTAGGACGGGGGTCTGTTTTATACTGCAGTAGGTGGCCGAGCAGACGGAGCTCGGAGTGGGAGCCGAGCGGGAAGCTGCTCCGGGGGTGGTGGCTGCGAGCAGAGAGGCCGCTGGAGCCCATACAGCRGGCAGAAAGAAACAGCAGTGAAGTCCAGAAGTGATAATAGCCCCCAAGGATTTGTCCTCCTTGTCCTTGTCTTGCCTGATGTGTCGAAGGGGTGCTTGGCTTAGCCTGGTGTAACGGTGAAGTCCTGGCAGTTTGATCTGAGGCAGAAGAGGGTTAGGCAAAATGCGCACAAGAAGGATTTTTACAAGTGCCAGATCAGGTAGGTAATGGAAATATTTTAGAGTGGTTAAAACAGAATCAAAAAAGGCTATTGGCCAAGGTAAGGTGCGTAAGAATGGCTTATTTCAGATTGGTTTGTCAGCTGGGAGTAATCTGAAATCATCCTTTTTGTATGAGATTTTCTGAACCCTCTAAATGTACGTGTATTTTTAATATGTTTTAGTTACTGTCAGCACAACTTCTCTTATGGAAGCCTTTCTTTACCATCATCTTTGCATCCAGTCGTAGCTATTGGAGGAGAACGTGTTAAGCAGACAGCTTTGTCCTTAAATTCTTTGTGTGGAGAACGCTGTGTGTGGAACTGCTCCGTGAGCTGCCCGGTATCAGGCTGTAGGAAGGGAGCTGCTGATGAAACATTGGAAGAATTGTTTCTTTTAGTGCTTGGCAAATACTTAAAGGCTGACAATAAGTGACAATATGGGGCAGAAATTTTTGTCTCTTGGGACCTCAGTTCTGTGGTAGGTGCTTCAAAKCCTGCTAAATAAAGACTGTCACAGTAAATGTCCCAAAACTAGGTAATCTCTCACTGCATGTTGATTGCAGTGTGTTTCATTTGCAATGTATTTCCTTCTGCCTCTTGCAATCTCAGAATAAGAAAAAATGTGATTGTAATATTAGAGCTACCAGTATGCAAAATATAATGTAATCTTTTAATAGTACTAAATTCCTAGAAAATACAATGTTTTCCCTTCAGTTTCCAGTGAAATAAGAAATATGTGGCAAAATGCATGATGAAATTTTGAGAGAACATATGTACGATTTACAGTGATTGACAGTATTTGTTAGCATTTTTTTTCTTTGCCTGATTATTTTTCTATTTCTCTTCAAGCTGCATGTGGATTTATAAAAATTAAGATGTGATATAGCAAAATGTTTGAGTTCTGTCTGTATCAGGTTTGCATGTTGTAGCGTGGGGCGTTTAGATATTGAGTAACGTTTCCATCCTGTCGGTCAGTGCACAATACTGAGGACTTCTAGAGGAGGCAGTTGATGGAATCAAAATATATGATAAATTTCAAATTATTTATCATAARTTTTTATAGAGAAATTTACTTGTATGATGTTTGTGGCTATTTTGTTTTTGAAATACATTTCTTACCAAGGGTAACTGATGTSATGACTTGCAATGAATTAGAATTTTCATCTTATTTTTAGGAAACAGTCTAGTCAGCTTAACCTTCCATCTGTTTAATCTTCATGGACTAATTGAACACTTCCAGTTAGATACGATGAAACTTCGTAGATTTTTGGGTAAATACCGCTTTTTATTATGGTGAATATTGATGCTTATTAATGAAGTTGTTAATGAAAGTGCTGGTTAGAGTTTAGCAATATGGGTTGAAGCTACGAATGCAGATGATGCAGGCATTTAAAGTGTATTGTTTGGGACAAAATCTCTCAGATGTTTCTGTGAGTGTAGAAGCCTTCATATTAAATCCCAAAATCCAAATGCCAGAAAGATATTAACAAGCTTAGTAGTTTCTCAGCAGGTGCTGTATTATCTTTATATAAACCTAAATCATCAGGAATGTATGTGAATTCCTTCCTGTGATTATGAGAGGGGGAAAGAATAGTTGTTTCCTTGTTTTGATTTTTCAGTTCAGTTTTAGCAAATTCAGTGTTTGTTTGGGAACGGGTAAAGATAACCGTTTCCTGACTGTAATGATTGTGCTGCCTTGGTCATATTGAACRGTGCCAATTCGATGCTGCATCTCGCTTGTCCAGGCTCCTGCACAAATATTCACTGCCCTCTAGGCAAGCTCCCTCCACAGCTGGAGGGAAGAATGTTTGGACCTGTATCCATGAAACCATTTTATGGGAAAAGCTGTAAATGCAGTGGGATATATGCAAACCAAAAGGTGCGGTCGCTTGACACCTGGTAGAGCTCTCTGCACCCAGGTACCTGCCGTGGGCCCCCATGGGATGAGACCCTCATTCCGGGCTCCTGTGACTCTGCCTTTGTTCACATTCTGTGGAGGAGGAGGAGGAGGAGGATGCTAATTCTGAACTGAGCCAGGAAACAAGCTTTTTTTCCCCCCAATGGCAGGCTTTCACAGTTGCAGAGGAAAAAAAAATATTATATCTATATAATTAAAAAATATATGTATATATATGTATAATAAAAATATTATATGTATATTGTAAAATATGTATATGTATTATGTAATTATTTTTTGTTGTTGTTGTTATAAAGACTGTTACTTAGCAGAGGAGAAATGATGCTGAGATGTTCAGAGGGCTTTTCTCCTCTTCCAAGTGAGAGGACTCTCTTGTTTTCACCACTGAGTCCTTTCTGCTTTAGAAATTTAGTCAGGTTCCCTGTGCTGTGCTTCATGTTATTTGAAAGCCTTGATAAGCACTGGAAGATGCAATCTGATTTTAGGCTGTATGTTTTCATCCCACTATWTTTTGCTTTGTCTTTTTGCTTATCTCCTGGTTAACTGAAATCCAGCAAAGAGGGTATTTGACATGAAAGTCCTGTTAGGAATAACTGGATTGGATTGCTAGCTGTCAAAAGATAACACAACTCTAGAAGCTCTAAGCCACTAAGATAAGATTAGGTTGATGAAAAAGACAAAACTTTAATCTGGAATTGGCCACAGAGCCTTCTGCTTAACAGCAGTATAAAAGCATTTATTCACCTTTACACATCTATTCAGTTAAGAAAGCAAATGCTGCTGCTTAGCATAAGCTTAAATCATCCTCTTCTTTTGATACATTTTCTACCTGGTCCAAAGTAATCTGATGACCAAGTCCAGAGGAGTAGGATGGCTCAAATGGCCCTTACAGCCACATGGAGGTCACTACTAGTCTGAGAACTGCTGGAGTCTTTTTTCTTTCTTTCTTCTGCAAAGGGGGCTGTGGATTGTTTGAATGAGTGGGGCTGGTAGATGGGCTGCATTCGGCTAGGAAGCTGTTCTTCGAAGGTTTGCTCTGAATAGCAGGTTTTGTTTTGTTTTATCAGGCAGAACTCTCCAGTGTAGAACATYCTTGGATTGCTCTGCTTCACATCTTCTTCCCTCCTTCCTTTAAAATCTTACAGTTCTTTTACCCCATGCAGCCTAATTTCTATGGATGCCCCTTGAGACATTTAACCTGTACTGAAGGATGGCCAAGAGGTTGGGGGATAGAGGAGGAAAGGGAGGAAGCAGAGAAGAGAAATCTCAGGGTGGTTAGACAGACCACCATCTAAAAGAGGTTCTTTTTTAAATTGCATATAGGCCTAAGTTTGCTTGAGTATAAGTATCAGAAGAAGCCCCAGCTGTGTAGAGGTGGCCTCCCCTGACCACTCTCCTGAAGGGGAAAGAAAAGCTCTTCATGTGGCAGTAAAGCAGTGCCTGCTCCCTCTGGCCCTGTCTGTTTCCAAGGCAGGCAGCATGGTGTGAAGTCATCCTGATGTTCTGCTAAATAGTGTCATCTTCATTTTGTATTCCAGGGTGCCTCACCATTCAGGCAGGCCAGCCTAGCAAAGGGAACCTTTCCTGGGAAAAAGTTCTCCAAGTCARAGAATCTCAAATTATACATTGACTTCAAGTTGTATAAATTTTGCTCTGAGATACCTTTTACATAGAATTGTTTTCGTTTAGAAAATACTGTTTCTTCATATAAAGACGTTTTGTACCGAGGTGTCAAGTTTATCAACTTTGACACTTTCATTTGTGCATAACTTGTGATATTGCATAATATTTCTGTGCCTAGGAAGGACGTATAAAATGGCACTTGAAAAAAATGCTTATTTAAATTTGGAAATTTGTTATTTTCCTGCAGTTATGGTTCAAGAAGATTATCACAGTCAAAACCCTTACCATAATGCAGTTCATGCTGCTGATGTGACTCAGGCCATGCACTGTTACTTACAAGAACCTAAGGTAAGGGAGCGTCCTCAGTTTTACACTGCATGTCAATTTAGAAATGTGCGTGTTTATTTTTGTGAAAGCATACGTGATTTGTGTGTGCACAGACCACACACAGTACAGTGTGCACATGCACACACATGCACAGTTCCTACAGAAAAGCAACTCCCCTCCAGCTTGGAGACCACTGGACCGGCGGGAACGGTTGCACCCCTGCTGCTCCGGTGTCTCCACGCTGGGCACCAGCCTCTTACCTGCTTCCCTGGCCTGGTGGTGGCTTTCGTGTTCCTCYTTTGGAACCACACTAGGGAATTAGGTAGGGAACATCCTAGGGAACCTCACTGCAGCTCCCTAACACACCACCATGCCCAAAGACAAATGTGGACGTTTATTGCAGCCTAGGTCAGAGATAGCAGTAGTAAACAATGGTTTTAGTGGGATTTTTTTTCCCCCCCAGAAACTGCCATTTCCCTTGCTTTGTTCATCTTTGGTGTCAGTGGATGTGTGTCAAAGGCACGGTGTAGCAAAGCGTCAAGAACATCTTTTCCCTTCCCTGCGAGGGCACCGCGGGTGCCCTGCCCGCAGGCTGCTGGGTGGGAGCCTTGGGCCGGCAGGACCATCCGCTCAGGGTCAGCAAGGAGGCCTGGCATGTGCTGGGTAAAAATCTCCCAACCAGGAGGAAAAAACCTAGAATAAGGAAAACAAGGCCAGGCGGTTACACACTTGGTTAATCAACATGCATGTTTCTTGGAAATAGGAGCTGYTGGTTTATGCAGATCTTGGCCTCTTCAGTTCCTTCCCCACTAGATTTAGAAATAAGGCTTTGAAGAAGAGTAGAAGGCAGTTCTGAACAGGTCTCGGAGTTCCTAGAACTTTACTTTCTTCCTTTTAAAAATAAAAGTTTTTGTATTGTTTAAGCTATGTTCTCTGTATTCAAGGTAGAATCTTGCTATTGTAAATGAGATGGAGGGCTAATTTTAAGAATTCAGTGTTTTGCAGGATCTTACAAGGAGCACTTCGTTGTAAGATCCTGCAGAGCACTTGTAAGCACTTGTAAGATCTTTATAAGCACTTCCACTTACCAGACAGAAAGTAGCGTGTTCTGTGGTTAAATCATGTCATTCATAAAGAATAATGCTTAAGCCAGTGTTGGAATGCCTGCAGTTTTTTAGGGGCACACTTCTATCACTAACAGAGTGACATTTGTTACTATCTTGCAGCTTTCCCAATCTTTAACTCCATGGGATGTTCTGCTCAGTTTAATTGCAGCCGCCACACATGATCTGGATCACCCAGGCGTTAACCAACCTTTCCTAATTAAAACCAACCATTACCTAGCAACTTTATATAAGGTAAGTAGGAAATCAGTTGCTTTGTTGGAACTAGATTTGTGCATGAGGACTATAGAAAAAAAGGTAATATCTGTATCTAGTTGTAGGTTTGAACCTCGAGATGGTTTCCATAGTACTGGGATAGAATCCGTGCCAGCTGATGAAGTGTTCTTAGTTTTTGAGTTATTATTTAAATATCTTATTTTGAAAAACTGTATGGCACAGCCCTTAGTTTTAGCTCCCTTGTTTGAAAAATCCTATTGATTGATTGATACCTCTACTATTATTTTCATTTGCAGAATACCTCAGTATTAGAGAACCATCACTGGAGATCAGCAGTAGGGTTGTTGAGAGAATCTGGCTTATTTGCACATATGTCATTAGAAAACAGGTATGTTTATACAGCGTTGCGTAGATTAGTTCAAGGCCCAAGTTAGCTGACAGCTTTTCACAACAACTTAACTTACTGCATGGCAATTCCTAGTTATATTTTGTATTCAAATGTATTTTAAGAGTTCATTGATACCACATTGCTAGAGCAGTGCACAGTGCAGTCTACTTGGAAAATGGCATTTACTGTGAGCACTTTGAAGATGTGTATTCATAGAGTCAAGCACCTGCTTAGATGGAACTTGGCAGCCTTTTCCAATTCTGTAACCTTAATGCAATTTAAAAATTAAAAAATTAAAATATAGTCTTTTCATCTACCTTAACTATAAACAAACGGTAAATAATGACTTTGTTTTTAAAAAGTGAGGAAAACCCCTCTTTTAGTCTTCCTGAAAGCTGCTTATGAAATGTCTCAGTATTTCAATAAATGTTGTACAACATTTTCGAAGAAAGTTTAGGAGGAATCCCCTGAGAATGCTGATCAGAAAGCCATTATGACTTGCATGAGTTTAATGCTGAGCATGTTATAAAGATTTGTTAATCTAGTGCTGCTTGTTTTTCTTAATTTTCATGCTTTTGRAATGTTTGGTATCACTAATTTCAGGCAGCTGATGGAAAGTCAGATAGGTGATCTCATTCTTGCCACAGACATCAGCCAGCAAAATGAGTATCTGTCCATGTTTCGATCTCACTTGGACAGAGGAGACCTATGTTTAGAGGATGCAAACCATCGTCACTTCATTTTACAGGTGACTTTCTTTTTGTAACACTTTTGAAAACATCTTTTTAGCTTCAAAAATAATTTGCTTAGAATGCTAAATACTTCTCTGAGGCTGTCTTCAGTTTCTGAAGTGAAAATGTCTTTTTCTACTTCTGACAATAGGGATTGTTCCCTGCATTTCTGTYCCTCCTCCCTGACTCCCCAGCACTTGTCCCAAGTGACGCCATGTTCTGGTGGGGCTGGTAACTTAGAGCTACCAAAACAAGGAGGGATTTCTTTCTGAGACAGGGTTAGTTGTTCTGATGCCTCCAGTGGAGTCTCAGAACCAGGAAATGCTTCATCAGAACATAGTTCAGGAGAGAAAGTATTACAGTTTAGTAATACTCAAGGGTTTCTTTTTACTGTACTGGGAAAAGATTTAGTAACTTTGGGAAAYAAAAGCCTTGAGAAAGTCTGCTAGAGTTCACAGAAATTTATATTATTAGGCTCCTTAAAGAGTTAAACAGTATCATAAGATSCTGTTTGCTTATTTCTGATTAGTTTGACATTTCCTTTTCTGAATTTATTATTGTCTTCTGAACTAGTGAATAAAATCAGTGAATCACTGACTTGGTGAATACAGTGCCCCTGAATTTTTTTTCTTTTTTTTACTGAATTTCCATATTACTCAGAGCTGATCAGGAGACGTGATAGTTTCCTGAGCTGTTTTTCTTTTTAATATAATACAAAACATAATTTCAGAGGAAAGTACTGGTAGGTAGGTTTGTTGTTCCCAAAACTTTAAGTGATCTGCTGTCAGGGAGTAAATAAAGATGTTTCTTTTGGATAGAAAGAAGCAAGTCAGGTGACCTAACACTGTGTTAACCTTGCTAGATGGCTTTGAAGTGTGCTGATATTTGTAATCCCTGTCGGACCTGGGAGCTGAGTAAGCAGTGGAGTGAGAAAGTAACGGAGGAATTCTTCCATCAAGGCAAGTAAAGAGTGCAAGTACTCTCATCTGTTAAGAGATATGTATATACCTTGTGAAAAGAGCAATCATGAGTCATAACTGCTTGCAGTTAAAGGGGTTATACTTAGGACTAATAGAGATTTACAAGGCAGGATGTGGGATATTTACTTTTAGTGGTGGGATTCCTTGCAGAGGGGTGGTGGTGCTGGCACTGATGAAGAGTCTGTGCAGCATCTGAATCCAGCGTGGTGGATTTGATAGATCCCTCAGCCTGACTAGGCCTTCAGATGGGCAATTAACTTCTTATTTACCTAGGGGGTTCCAGTAAATTCTGAAACACTCCTTCATACTCTTGTTCTTTCACCTCTATTCAAGCAAAATCCATTTTGAGAGCTTAGGGCAGTTTGTAATATTTTTATTTTAAAGACAATGTCTTAACAACGGCATTTAGTCAGAGGAGAACTTACTTGTGGAGTTGCCACTTCATGGTGAAATAGGAAATTACAGGATGATCGGGCAGTTAGAAAGCTCCGACATGAATTACATGCTAATCACTGATTTGAGAAACATTAATTTGTGCATAGGTGTGAGATAAGTGGAGAACATMGTCTATGCAGTGCTGATAGTGTGAAGTTTATTATTCAGTATCAACAATGTACAAGCAGAGCAGCAAATACCTACCTGCCATGAGAAACTTTTGAAGGATCAGTTGTTCCCTTCYGTGTTACTCGAGAGTAAACCTTAAATTGCTGTAGAAATGAGAAATTAGGAGTTACTGTAAGGAAGTGTGTTAATACTCTGGAAGGCTGTGATTGATGTTGTCCTTGCCAATAGTTGCCAGTCCCATGGAAAACACACAGAGCTGCCACTCTCACTGACAGAGCTGTTGGTTTCTTGGGAGGGCAGAGGAGGGTAAATTGTTGTCYCCTGCACAATCCCACCCTTGTTCCATGGCCAGGGATCCAAATGCTCTGCGAAGGTGCCGATGTGGGTCGGAAAACCGTCCTCTGTGAGCACTGGGGCTCGGCCCCCTGACAGTGCCTTGTGCTTCTCTTCTTTCAGGGGACATTGAGAAAAAATACCACCTGGGCGTCAGTCCRCTCTGTGATCGACAGACAGAAACCATTGCCAACATCCAGATTGGTAACTGCGCTTCAGTTTGTTTTACTGCATTTCTTTCGGGATGCAATTTGAAAAATAGGGAAAAAGTATTTTACGTATATTTCCTTGAGCTTGTACCTAGTTTGTCTTTATTAGACAGTGCTTAACTGTGCAAAGAACAGTCTTTCTTTGCTGTAGCTGTTTCCCCTTGGCTATGAAAGGTGCTGCACTGACAGTGGTGCGGCTGAAGGCTCTCACCAGACGGGAATGGGAATCCAGTGTGTAACTTTTCCCGTGCTCCCGCTCAGTACTTGCCTCATCCAGACTGGCCCTGCTGGGAAGAGGGGGCGTCTTCCTTCCCCTCAGTCTCTGGGGTCTTTTGTAATGAACTCGACAAAAAATGGATTCTGGATGATTTTAGCTTTCTGGAATGCCAGTGTTCATATTAAATGCAGCCCAAAAACGGGGCTGGGGCAGAGACTTGGTGCAGGACCATGAGTTACCATTGTAGTATCTTCTGCTTTTTGCTCACTTGAGTTGGATTTACACCAGGTCAAGGGGTGATTATTATTTACTAGATATTTTTTAACACTTTTTTTTGCATATAAATTAATGGGCCTGAATTTAAAAAGAAAAAAAATTAACCTCCTACATAGTATGAATTAATGTTACTTCAACTTAATCTGAACAGATGAGATTTTTTTGTTTCTATCAGCTGCACCGTTTTAAATTAGAAGCTGTTAATCATACATTTTTGTAATTGACAGCTTAAAGCAAGCATGGTTTTGATAGTTTTACCATTGAATTCAGTTCACAGAAACAGAATTTATAAATAAGCGAACTCCCACACGTGTGCACGCATGCTCTTATATAAAAGACTATAAAGATTTTAAAAGGGACTAGCTTGTCAGATTTTTTTTCAGTACTTTTAATGAGCATAAAATTGTGAAACAATCTCTATTTTTGTTTTGCCTGCGTAATATAGTTCAGCCAATGTTGGGTAATTTGTTACGAAATCTTTTAGACGTTTAGGTTTTCTAGACTCCTTTGGCCTTGTTCCTTGATTCTTTCCCCCTCGATCCCCAGCACTTCCCTTCCTTTGTTGGTTGTTCTGAAGTGAAGGGTGTTAGTGTATGACCAGTATAATGCCGCTCTCCGAGCTGTGAAGCGTTGTGTGTTTTGGGGGAGCGTTCTGTTCGTACCTGGTGACGGTTGGAAGGAGTTTGGCGACGGCGGCAGTGGGAGCCCGCTCCGCCATGGCCGCCATGGCCGCCATGGCCGCCCGCCGCTGCCTCACGCGCGCGCTCTCCCCGCAGGCTTCATGACGTACCTGGTGGAGCCGCTCTTCGCCGAGTGGGCCCGCTTCTCCAACACGCGCCTCTCGCAGACCATGCTGGGCCACCTGGGCCTCAACAAGGCGAGCTGGCAGGGGCAGCAGCGGGAGCGGGAGCAGCGCGCGGGCGCCGCCGCGCCGCGCCTCTTACCTCAGGAAGGGCGCCCGTCCTGACGGGGCCGCCGCCAGCGCCCACGGCACCACCGCGTTATTTATGTTCCCAGTTTCCCCTCGGCAGACCTGCTCTGAACCTGACCGGTTTGTTTGTTTGTTTATTTTTTAACTGCAAGATCTGAACATAGAGCAATATGCATATGCCTCGGTTGGGTTTTGTTTGGATCCCCGAATATGCAAAGCACAGCRGTGACTGAGCCTCGAAGGAACAGTACGACAATTTCATTGCACCCTGTTTATTTTCGTTTTGTTTTCTTTTTGGTTGTTGTAGAGTTTTTTTTTTTTTTTTGGTCTGTTTGTTTGTTTTGTGACATTTGAAATATGGTCTTCAAATCCAAGACTTGAGATGGATCGTTCCACTTTCTCGGACTTGGACAAGACTCGGTGAACGCGTTYGAAGCAAACCTTCCACTCGGTCCCTGTTTTAATACGGAAATGTGAAGTGCCCATCCTCTGCTGCCTCTGGCAAGACTTGATGTTTACAAATGTACTCTGAAACTCTTGGTTCTAGACTTCACCTTTGTGCATGGCTGTGAAGGAACCACTAACTTGGATTCTTTTTTCTTTTTTTTTTTTTGGATTTTTTTTGAAAGAAAAAGATCAAATCCAAGACTGCAGCTCTTGTTTCTTTGGATGCCAGAAGAGCCTCCCATTTGCCGTAATTTTGTTTGTGCACTGGGAACTGAGCATTCATCATAGAGCACAGCCAAGCTTTACTCCAGTGCTATATGGGAATGCAGTTTTTTAAAAGCAGAAAACACTTCTGAATTTGGGAAGGGGAGCGGGGAGGGGGAAGTGTCCGACCTGCATTGCGATTCTGCGGTGAAAACATCGCATGTTGTTTTCACTCTTGTACACTTGAACTGCACATGCAAGGAGAAAAACACAAACAAAACAAAACAAAAAAGGTGGAATGTCTAAACACCATAACCAGCTCAGGGTATTTGCCAATCTGAAATAAAGCGGGATGGGAAGCGTGTCCTTCCGAACAAGGGTACAAATGCCCCTTTGGCTGCAGCGTGCGTGTCTGTGTGGGTGCGTGGGGTGAGTACGTGGGGCGGGCGGGCGGGAGGGCAGGGGCAGGGGTTGAGCGGCAACATCTTTTTTATTTATTCTTTCAGAATGTGACAATTTCATGAAACAGCCACACCGGGGAGGAAACTGTAACAAATTGCTACAGATGCCTTAAACTATGCACAAAGCTAAGTGACCAAATTTGTTTTTGATTTGAAGAAATAATAATAATAATAATAATAATAATAATAAAAAAGAAAGTGCATTGTTTACTTATTCCTCCCTCTACTGAAACGTTACCCATTAATGGGTTTTTGATGGGAAATGGAGAAATGTTTTTTAGGACAAAATTAAAGGACTAATTTTAAACTTAAAACATTCCATTTTTGTAATTTCTTTTACGTTGTTTTAAGTACAGTAAGCACAACTGTAATCTAGTTTGAGAAACTGGTGCTTTCTTTTAGTTCATTTGTATTTCCCTGTTATTATTGTAAATGACTGTTTATTAATTCTGTTTACAGTTTGTTGCAACAGCCATTTTGGGAGAGAGCTTCAGTGCAAAGCCATTTGTCAAGGCTTTGCCTCGTTCATTTTAATATGTGCCTGTTGCTGTTAACTTTTAATTAATAAAAAAAACTCTTTTCACATTTTGCTCCTGTACCTTTAAGTTACAATTGAGTACAGCATTATGGAAAGGTAGTTAAGGTTGCACTCARCTTCCACGGTAAAACTAAGCCCATTTTTGGATTTGAAAATACTAGTCCTCACATGCCAAAACTTATCACCTCTTTGAGCTTGGCCTTTTACTGTTTTAAAAACAAATTCTGACTTACCTGTTTGTCTGAAATTCTAAAATTCTTTCATGTTCCCTGAAGTGGCCATGTTTAAAGAAATAAATTTACAATTAAACCATTTATTGACCTTGTGTGAAGTCCTTCCTTTGCTGTGGGGGCAACTTTGTGCTGTCGTCTGCCTTGGGCAGAGAAGGAATCAGAGCTCGGGTTGCTGCTCGGCGTGACGGAAAGGCCCCGTTGGAACAGGTTGCCTCCCAAGGGCTGCCGCCTGCCGCTGTCCTCTGGTCCCCAGGAGGTGACCGGGTAAGTGCTGAGGAGCTGCCTGGGAGGCACCGCGGCTCCGCTCCGTCCCCGGCGCTGCCCTCCAGGTGGTAGGGTTCAGTGCAGGAAGGTATCGGTGTCTCGGGTGCTTTGGAATAAAACAGACACCAAGACTGCAACTGTTTTAAAAGCAACCATTAAAAATCARCATCTGGTGCTGTCTTTAACAATTSATGTTCTTTGAAATGTGACAACACCATAAATACAAGTTTTGCTATTAGCTCTAGACTAATTATAAGCATATTGTAAAGTGTTCTGCACACACACACACACACACACACGTGTATATATCTCAAAATTGCAATGTATCTGTAAGCAAGCTCTGCTTCTCTAATGTTATGTAACGGTCTCCCGGCTTATACCAGGAACAGTGCTGCCAGCAGGATGAGGAAAGCGATTGTCCCCCTGTACTCAGTGCTGATGAGGCTGCACCTCGAATGCTGTGTTCAGGTTTGGGCCCCTCACTACAGTAAGGACACAGGTGCTGGAGTGAATCCAGAGAAGGGCAGCGAAGCTGGTGAAGGGGCTGGAGCACAGATGATTGTACAAGAAGCGGCTGAAGGAACTGGGGTTATTTAGTCTGGAGGAGACCTCATCGCTCTCCACAACTACCTGAACGGAGGTTGTAGCAAGGCAGGGGTGGGTCTGTTCTCCAGAGTAACTACCCATAGGACAAGAGGAAATAAATGGCCTCAAGTTGCACTCGGGGAGAAGGTTCAGCTTAGACATTAGGAAGAATTTCTACAGGGAGTGAWGAAGCCTTGGAACAGGCTGCYCAGGGYAGTGGTGGAGTCGCCGTCCTTGGCAGCATCCAATAAACGTGGGGATGAGGCGCTTAGGGACATGGTTTAGCAGGCAGGGTGCTGGTGGGTTGGACTCAATCAGCTTGAAGGTCTTTTCCAACCATGATGGGGTTGCTTGCAGTTCCTGGACTGGCCTATTCTTACAGGGACCAGTTGAGCTTGTCAAGAGGCGGAAGGAAAACTGGAATCATTTTTAAAATGCCAAAGAAAGAAAATAACTAAAAAAAAAAAAAAAAAAAAAAAAAAAAAAAAAAAAAAAGAAAGGTATAGAAAGGACTAAAAAGAAAACCGGGGGGGGGGCGGAGGGGGAACCACAAGCCCTAAGGCTTTACAATTGACTCATTTTTTTGGTCAGTAGTTTTAGGCCACTTGTATGGTTTTATTTCTTTCATTCATTTTTTCATTTAATTCATGTATTTTGTTTCCAAGGTGATTGATAACTGGACCTGACAGCAACACACTCAAGTCACTGAAACTTTAAAGGTGACAGTTCGTGATGCATAAAATCCTTAGCTCCAAAAGTGAGGAGTACTGCTTAACCGGACTGAGCTGCATCATGGCAAACAGCCAGAGCTGAGCTGCAATAACCCAAGATACCTGTTTTTAAAAAATACCTCCTGACCAGAGTTCTGGGGGCTCCTGAGCTGCTCTGGCCCTGGTACTGGGGCTGTTGTCATCTGGGACCCCCCGAGATCGGCCAAGGGACCCTTGGTTCAAGGGAAGGGACAGAGCTAAACGCGGAAGGTCAGGCCCGCAATGCAAGCTGTCAACMTAGTGACTTACGGCCCTGTAACACAAGGTGAGCTCCACGTTAGGGAAGCTGTAGAACGGGTAGAAAACTCCAATTACACGCAGGTATTTTAACTGCTTTTAATTTGATATAGTGGCAATAGAGCATTAAATACAAAACTTGAAACCAAAAGTAACTTTCACAAAGGTGTTTTAAAGGCATTTAAAAGAACATGCTGAAGATTCGATGATCTGTCTGTAAAACTGAGGGTGGAACACGTTGAAGGAAGGTGTTCTGTGTAGATACRACAGCATTTCAAGTTTTACACCAGAAAATAGCCTCTGATTGTGCAATCTACGTTCCAGTTTTAAGCAGCAAAGCTTTAGTCCTTGTCAGTAACCTAAACAAAGAGAGCTATTCAGGTGTTTGTATTTAAAAAGTGCTGCAGTTTTCTGTTCCCTAGAAAACAGAAGCTCTAAGAGGCACTTGCAGTTGTCCCAGTAGTCAGATAACCTTGGAACATTAAATAGTCGGACTCGGAGATAAGTTTATCTACAGTCAGAGAAAACTTCACTTGTGTGTGCAGCTAAGTTACAGCTCTCTAGGCTYCTGAGCAGTGTTTTTTGGCCTGCAAGTTATTTCTGTTGGACCCCCTGCAGCTGTGGACAGAGGCACTGGCTCCATCCAGCTGGGAAAAGAGGCACCCCCGGGAAGCAGCACCCAGGCTGCGGCTCCAGGGGCCCCTTCCCTGCACCCCGAGGGGCAGCCCAGGCCCCGGCCCCACGTGGCGCCCTCCCCTGCAGCCGTGTCTTCATAGCACCTTGCACCCCCCAGGGCTCTGTACCTTTTATTTTTCTCTTAACAAGCGCAGAAATGGTGTTGATAACACATATTCTGGCGGCAGCTATTCTACTTTATGCTTCTCTCTACCCTTTTGGGTTTTTATTTCAAATTCATTGGCTTGTCTTTGGGCAGAGGCTCCCCCCCGCTCTCTTTGCGCTGCTTGCTGGTCAGCAGGTGACACAAGCGCTTCTGCCCTCCTGCCCTCGGCGAGCTCCTTAAACCCCACAAACCAGCTGACCCCTGAGGCAGAGCTCAAGTTTTTGCTTTTTTTTTTTTTCCCTGTATAAAGTAAAATATATTCCATTTTCTTTTGAGCTAAAACGTTGTTACAGCTATGACTTTGACACGAAAAATTTAGTATAAGATACCAAGGTGCAAGTTGCAGTTAAAGCTCAAACGACTCATGTTAACATAAGGGTGCATCGTTGTTACCACATATACAAATAATGTTAAGGTGGTCGGTTACGCTCAAAAATGTCACATAGGTAACTTAGTGTTAATGAACTTAACCCACAACAAGTCTGGGTAGAAAGCCAGGTCTGAACACAAAATTAATACCTGAGTTTAACAGTCAAATCTATCCCTTTTAAGTCACATACATACAGGCACCTCAAGCTTAAGGTGTTTAGTGCCTCCCTTCCACATTTCACGTTAGTTTTTTCCTGCACCGTAGGAGACCGGGCGGTACTAGTGTTTTTTGCAACACTGTAAAAAACCAGCGTAGAGTCTCTCAGGCAGCGATCGGCTCACGTTAGGATTTTTCAATCAACGTCTTCATTTTCCCTGTCGACTTCAGCATGTGCGGCCCGAACTGAGGAGAGAAGCAGAGGCGCGTTAGGCCTGAGCCCCCCGTGCCCCCGGCTGGGCCCTCGCCCGGCCGCACCGCCGGCGGGACCGGGACCGGGCAGCGGAGCCGCCCCTCCCGCCCCGCTGCTTCCAACGGGGCCTGGGCCCCCTTCCCTGGCACCGGATAGGAGAGAAGGAAGCTGTGTCAGTGACGCCGGGCAGCTCCGCAGGCTGCCGGCCGGGAGCCCCTCTGCCTGGGATCCTGGCTGCATCGGGAGGATGTTGCCAGCAGGTCAAGGGAGGGGATCCTGCCCCTCTGCTCAGCTCTGGGGAGGCCGCCCTGGAGTATTGGGGGCAGTTCTGGGCTCCCCAGGATAAGAGGGATGTGGAGCTCCTTGAGAGGGTCCAGCGGAGATAGACCAATATGATTAAGGGACTGGAGCATCTCTTGTATGTGGAGAGACYGAGTGTGTYGGGCCTGTTCAGCTTGGAGAAGAGAAGGCTGAGAGGGGATCTGATTAACGTGTATAATTACATGAAGGGGGAATGCAGGGAGGAAGGGGCCARGCTCTTCTCAGTGGTGGCCAGKGACAGGACAAGGGGTAATGGGCGCAAACTGCAACACAGGCAGTTCCATCTCCATGKGAGGAGGAACTTCTKTCCTGTGAGGGTGACAGAGCCCTGGCACAGGCTGCMCAGGGAGGCTGTGGAGTCTCCTTCTCTGGAGATCTTCCAGACCYGCCTGGATGTGCCCCGTGCTCTGGGTGTCCCTGCTGGAGCAGGAAGGTTGGGCTAGATGATCTCTGGAGGTCTCTTCCAACCTTAAAACATTCTGTGATCCCACAGCACCACAGAACAGAGGGAGAGAGGGAGCCGGCGGCTCCAGGAGCTGACAGGCAACGGCTCCAGCGGCCTTTCGTGGCAACGTTTCTATTCGTGTCATGCTTTTCTGTGCAAGCCCGTACAAAACTAGGCAGGATATCACACAGGAACTGCTGCAGCACAGAGGTTACATATTGATAAATAACAGATGAGAGGTGGTTTTTAGGCAGCTCCTTACAGAGAGATAAACAATCTGTCACTTGACAAATGGAAACAGTGACTTTTCTTAGTTCCTTGTTCTCACAAGAGCTGGAATTTGAATTTCAAAATGGAGAGTCATGAAAAACTCACTTGAAGAAAGGCCTGACAGTTACAGGAATAGACATTAAAGGCCTAAACCAGAAAGCAACTGAGCCAACTTTAATAAGCTCAAATTTTCTGAGGTCCTGAGATTTGTGCCTCACCAATCTTATTCTCCTCAGAACTTAGCCAGTCCTTTAGCTTAAGTTCCCTTAAAATCTGGAGTATTACCTGCATTTTCCCAAATGAACAAACGGAAAATAGTATTCAACAAAAGGAAATAATTAAGTGCTTAAAAAGCCTTTGCTTCAGTTTCAAATCAATATGAAATAAGCTAAAGTCCTTAACTGGTGCTAGATCTATGGTAAAGATTTTAAATAACTCAATTTTAACAGCCTCACACCACAACGAAACTCTTAAAACACTTTTCCAAGTGTTAGAAAATCTGCCTTGTACATGGAATATCTGAACATTTAGGGTCAGTAATAACAGTAAGCTGCAGGAATTTCTCTGTTCTGACTCATCTCTGGTATGAGCCCTTAGGAATCAATCCTGTTTTCAGCATTCCACATGCCCAGGAAAAGAAATACATGTATTTTTTCTTACTTCAGAAGTCTAACAGTGCTCGTTACACCTCAGTCCAAAGCAGCACAGAATCTCAGCATGCGAGTCTGAGCACACACGGGGCCGCTGATAGGTGAGGAACTGGCCGTGCTGAGTGGGGCTCTGCACCCAAAACCTTCAGGTATTTCTGTATTTTGGCAGAGATTTTTGTTGGCTCTCCGGGGCATCCTCCAGTCCAAGCGGGTGCTCMGAACCACAGTACTCACCAGCACTGCTTCTGTCTTTGTCTCAGGCTTTGGAATCACTTTTTCAGTCTCACTTTGGCTGTCGCTTCGGTATCGATAAGCGAATTTCTTTTTGAGAGCTTCTGCTATTAACGCTGCAGGGTCTGCTGGGTCGGCTACTTTAGATTTTGTCCCTTCTGGTGATCTGGGAAAGAAAGGAAGAACTTTTAACAGTTCCAAATCAAGGTTTAGAAGTCGTGAACACTCCTGCATTTCCATTTACTTGTCATCAGCCTCAGTCTCAGCTTGAAACACATTTCCACGAACCAGAGAGAACCCCCTGAAGCCGACGGCCTCGATGCGAAGGCCTTACCTCTTCACGGCGCGCAGCTTCACGCTGTTCATGTCCTTGAGGATCTCCAGCATGTTGGGCATTTCAGGCCTCTTCGGCCCGTTCTCCGCAGGGGTCTGCCCGCAGCTGGTTCGTTTGCTTCTCCGCTCCCTAATGAGCTCGATGGCGGAGCCGCCCCGCTGCGGACCGGCCGCCGGCAGCGGCGGAGGCGGCGGCGGAGGCGGGATGGGGACTGCGGCGGAGGCGACGGCAGCTGGAGCGACGGGGCTCACCCCCACTGCAAGGGAAAGGGGCACGTGGCGGACGTTTCATGTACGTTTAGTTGTGGCTGCCCGTCACACCTCAGCAAACGCTGAGGCGAGCCCGCAGGTCTGTGAAACAGGATGGACACCACAGGACCTCGCCAGGGTCCCTCCCGGCGCTCTCAGTGTTTCTCTCTCATGTGGAAGTCCCATGTGCTAARGGGGCAGCGATTCCTCCTCCTCATCTTGGGGAGTTAACACCTTACCAGACAAGACTCTAAAAGGTAGAGAGAGCTCAACTAGTGCTTAAATTCAGGCTTACTCCAGCTCTCTGAGGTAGTCATGTTTTTAGGCAAGCTAATTTAATTTTAGTCAAAGGAGGTGAGTGTAAAGCAGCTCCCCAGAATGTGTTTAGCGGATCACATTGCTCAGGGAGTCCATGGACTTGAGAGCAGAGCTCAAGGTTTTGAAGGTAAAACCCCCCCTGGGGGTAAAACCTGGGGTAAAACCCCCCCTGGATGCCACCCTGTGCCCCGTGCTCTGGGTGTCSCTGCTGGAGCAGGAGGTTGGACTAGATGATCTCTATGGGTCTCTTCCAACGTCAGCCATTCTGTGATGCTGTGATGTGATGTAATCATCTGTCTAAACCCACAAGATCAAGATTATCCTGAGAATTTGATTTTCCTTCACTTTTTGCCCTTTTGGGGTAAAAAATGGAAGCTATAAATACAAGAGCTGCAGTTAGTTGACAAATATTTCAAGAACCCTCTTTTCAAATGCTTCTCTCAAGAGATGATCAGAACCAAATGATCCCAACCAGACTGATACTGTGTGAATACACAGAGACGTTACCATATTCTACCAGAAGAGGGAGGTAAAGATGATAAAATCAAGAGCATAAAATTTGAATTTTCTAATAGAGGATAAAGAAAGATGATGAAAAGTTATTGGTTACTTGGCAGAAGTTACTGGTTACTTGGCAGAAAATAATTAGAATTCAAGACTGAAACCAAATGACTCCTTAAACTATTTGATCACTTATGGAAAAATAAAGTAACTGCTATCAGCCCACACAAATACTAACCTCTTCTGTGGAATCAGATTCTGACCTAATGCATGAAGACAGACAAAACAACATATTTTTTAAATGTGTAGAGCATAGCAAGTGTATTACCTGCTGTCAGATTTTGCTGTTCTTGCAAGATGACAATTTTGGCTATTTGTGCTCTTAAAGAGGCTAGTTCGTTTTCTAGGGCACTGATCTTCTGCAGAGCTTCTTCGTTTGYGGTCGCAGAGCTCCTGGGCACGGCTTCTTCTGGCGACGGGCTTGGTAGGGGCCTCTGTCTTGCCTGGGGGTGCAGTTCCCCTGAAAGGGGCTCAGCTGGTTTGGACCAAACTTCTGATCTGCAACAGAAAGATCAGAAAACTTATATTAAAGGCTTTCTGGTAGATAGTAAATAGAGCTAAAGCTACAATATACAGGAACCGTGAATAAAAGTTGAAGTTCTGACTTAAAATGTAATTTGTCTTTTCACAATTCACTGCTACCAAAACATTATACAACAACGTAAACACGTTTCAAATTCTTTGCGTTTACATCGCTGTCTGGCGGTACTTCTCTTTCCATGGAGGCAGAATTCCACTTTGGTTTTTCAACCTTTYTATGTTAACATCCTCAGTAACAATCTGCAAGGAGAAGAAGAAATAACCAAGGATACTCCCTTTTGATCATCAGTAGTGTCACGCTGGATTTTGCAGGTATTGGAATTCTACTGCGTTTTTTTCATATGACATTTCACGTAACATTTCTTGTACTGAAGGACATGAGGTTGCAAAGCTTTACAAGGCACGCTGGCCTGATCTGATCAGTGTGTATAAATACCTCAAGGGAGGCAGTGAGGAGGAGRGGGCGGCCTCTTTTCAGTGGTGGCCAGCGACRGGACTAGAGGAAATGGCCACAGACTGAAGCACCAGAAGTTCCACAGAAGTTAAGGAAAAACTTCTTGACAGTGAGGGTGACAGAGCCCTGGCACAGGCTGCCCAGGGAGGCTGTGGAGTCTMCTTCTCTGGAGATCTTCCAAACCCAYTTGGACTCAATCCTGTGCCACGTGCTCTAGGCGACCCTGCRTGTGTTCCAACCTTAAGGATTCTATGAAGTTGGCAATGCTAAGGGTTTAATTGCTAGATTTTAAGAGAATAGAGAAATGCATTTCCCCTCTCACTCCATTTTCCATTTTTTCTGCTCATATTTGTAACTGTATTTCAGATGCAATTAAGTCTTTAAAAAAAAAAAAAGTTTGCCCAAATTTTCTCCATGGGGTACCATTTTTCTCCATGGGGTGGTAAATATTCATTTGTAGTTGGTTCCTTTTAAGAGGAAGAAAAAGTTTCTTAGTTCCAGGGCATATCTTGTACTTTCTTTTTGATTTTTTTTTTTTTTGTATTCCACAATGACCTGGCTTGACACTATTCAGCTTCCATTTCAGAAGCCAAGATTTAAGGCTAGACCAAGTGCTGTGTTGTGCCCATATCAGCATGGTGGTTAATGCACGTCTGAACCTTTCTCCACACTGATACAAAACACCAGCCTAACTTGGAGCAATCCCATCAAGTGCACCAAAACGTTAAGAAAAGCGTTAAGATTTAGATACTGTTACCTAGGTGGGAAGAGAGGAAAACCTGAAGGTGAGGAGAGGATGGGCCACCCCCTACAGCAGTGACCATTCTCTTCCTCCTGCCCCAGGTAAAGGAGCCAGTAGTCTCTCTGCTCTAAAATCCACCTCCTAGAAGCTCTTCGAAAGGAGCAGAATAGCTGAAGGCAAAGCCCATTTTGGGTCAAAGCAGGAACAATATTTTTAAGCAAATCCTGATTGGGATTTACTGCTGTGGAAGAACGTGTTTGAAGTGTCACCACTGCTCTGACTGAGGGGGGTGGAAAAATGATGTGTCGCTCCCTAAGGCAACATTCAGAAMGACTGCAAAATCACCCAGCGAAAACTGCAAAACTGAACTAGCCAATGAATTCAGCAGCAACTTCTCCGTGAGCTTTTCATAGCACAGAAATTCCACATGTCTGTTCACCACCCAAGGCGGGCTGCACTGCGCCGCACTGCGCAGAAACACAACAACCTGCACACTGAAGGACGCAGATAGGCAGGATGGTATTTTCTTTTGCTAACTAATTCACCTACAGTGTTCCACTATAAGCTGTCTTAAGGTCACCATAGGATTATTTTAGTCCCATCCCACATCCATCTGTCCCCCCACTCCTCTTTCATATGTGAACATCTCAGCAAAAGTATCAGCCCGACATCTTTTCACAGAGGGTCCCTTCAAGCAAGAGAGTTATTCTCCCCAYTGACTCCCTTAAACTCAACAGCCTTATATTCAATCCAGAAGGATTTCTGTGCAAACAAAAATAAGTGGCCAGTAAATCCYCTCTGCATTAAGTTTCCTTTACAAACAGTGTTTCTTCAACCAACAATACAGCAGTTATTGTCACTATTGAGTGGACTGTCATTATTAACACTTATCCTCGTTAGGAAACCCTACGATATTCCAGCTCAGGCCAGTTAAACCCTCTGCAGGGCTCTGGAAGGATCAGTCTCGGCAGTGGTGCCACTCGATATGGGACATTCTGGTGGGGACAGGGCTGACAGACAAGGTCACACTCCAGYGGGCGACTCTCTCCCCACACATCACTCATCGGGCTCATCATGGAGCGTTAAGAACAGCAGATTCTTGTCAGGAAAAAAAAAACCACCCTATTTTTCTTCCTCGGTTCATAACTTCAAACAGATGTAAGGAGCAGGATTTGAAATGTAAGGACTGGAGGAACAGACCTGAGCCTCGTGCAGACTTCACCTTCCTCTTCAGCAACCCACCCCACATCTGCGAAGGAGGCCACGGCGTCATCTCTCAGCTGATGAGGACTGTTTCCTTCTGTGCCATGAGAAGTAAGCTGGATTTTAAAGACAAGACTGAAGATTTTAGAGACACTTTTCTTAACTCATTTCGCAGCTCTTATGTAGTACGAGCAACTAATATTTTTAATGAGGCTGGATGCACCTACATCATTACATTATACAGACATGCATGAAACACACTCGCAGACTGAGCACGCTTGGTCCAGAACCTGTTTCAGACACAAACTTGCCCATTTTCACTCTARTCTGCTGCACACTCCACAGAAGCTATGTTGGTTTTTAAGATGCATGGCTACCTATACTACCACATGAAGTTACTGAACACTGTAAATCTAACACAAATTGTTATATTAAAGACAAGCAAACGTCAACATTCACAGTTGTAGTAGTTAGCTTTATTAACTCAAATAACATGTACTGCTTTATGGTGACAGGTGGATTAAAAAAAGAAAAAAAAAGACAATTTTTAAGGCTACTACTAATTCTCTAGTCCCACAATGATTTAGTCCATTATTTTGAGGATGAAGTTTTGTGGAAGCGTGTTCCTCTTCCAGAATTTCTGTGCAAGAATAAACCTGTGCCCGTTACAAGAGGGGAAGCAAAAGCGCTGCCCCAGCTCAGTAATCACACGGACTGAATGAGAGGCAGAGTAATAATAGTTAAAAATAAATAGCTCATTAACGATCTCATTTAGTGCATGCCAAAAGAGAGAGGGGAGAGAAAAAAAAAAAAAAAAAAGACACGGACTGAATGAGAGGCAGAGTAATAATAGTTAAAAATAAATAGCTCATTAACGATCTCATTTAGTGCATGCCAAAAGAGAGAGGGGAGAGAAAAAAAAAAAAAAAAAAAAAAAAGGTTGTGGAGTCTCCTTCTCTGGAGATCTTCCTAACCTGTGGCCTGGATGCAGCCCTGTGTCCCATGCTCTGGGTGACCCTGCATGTGCAGGGGGTTGGACTAGATGACCTCTAGAGGTCCCATCCAACCTTAAGGATTCTATGATTCTAGCACAAGGCCAGAGTCCTGATGGGATGAAACCATTCCAGAAGAGCATTCATAGGAGTTTGCCTGTGGCCTTTGCTGCATGAATATGAGGAAAAGAGAAGTTGTGGGGTTTTGCTTTGTTCTCTGGTTTTGTTTTCCCGGGAATTTTCACGACAGCTCTGGGAAGTCAGGATTCGCCGTGCTGCCCTCCCGCGCCCGCCGGTTCCGCGGGAGCCTTCCCTGCAGCCCCAGGAGCCGCCGCTGGCGCCGCAGGAGCACTTGGAAGCAACAGGGTTTGCTCCAGGTAGCACCAGCACAGATGGCAATATGTTGATCACATTAACAGTTGTGCCTAATACCGTAACACTCTGCCTCTCTTTAAAACAGTCTAGAGAAAACTACAGTAACTACATGTTAGGATTCTCACTGTTTAATGTCTCCTTGGATATATTTTTTCTTAATTTAGGGAAAAAAAAATCAATGACCACAACATCACTATTGATGTTAACAGCAATAAATAAGTATCTCGCACTTCTTGTACAATCACATAGATTTTCTTGATGATAATGGACATACTGGGGACTACCATCATAAAAAACGGAGATATATTAAATGAAGATATATTAAATAAAGGTATGAGCTATACTCAAAAAGTCATTCTTTAAGTCAAAACTAAAGAATGAATTTACCATCACAAAAATTTCTGCATTGAATTTAAACCAACATTTACTAGCAAGTCTTCTGTTATGCAGTGATGCATGTATCCTCTTACTTTTTAAATTCATATTTATATGAATAAATCTGTTATTTATATGTATAAATCTGTTATCCATATACCCATGGTTTTTGTCTAACCATCCCTAAAAATCAGAATGCCTTCTGAAGCGCGGACAACATTTAGAATGCAAAGATAAGCCAAGATTTTACTTGCTTTTAAACACTAAATATATAGATAGAGTTATAGACATCGTCCCAGTGCCCACCTTCAGCCCTTGATGGCGTGCAGCCCTGCCGACCGCCCTGCTCCTCCCGCAGAAGGGCAGCGGGGCAGCAGCTCAACAGTGCACATCCTGCTGCAGCCTGCAAGGAGGCAGCCTGCAAAGTCACGTTTGCCATCAAGGGCCCCAGTCCTGGTAAGCAGCAGGAGCTCAAGCATGAAAGCAGCCTGCTTCCCCTTCCCCTGAAAACTAAGTCCGTGCCTCAAGCTGCTTTGAATGGGATTTTAAGGCTTTTTTTGTTTGTTCTTTTCCCGCATTCCGACTGGGTTTTTTTTGGGATCCTCCTGTGTCCCACTGCAGGGCTCTGCATGGTTGAGGAGGAGAGGGACAGCCTGTGGTGCTGCAGCTGGAGCAGCCGGGATCAGTAACATGGGAGGAAGGGGCTGCCCTGGAGAAGCGCTGCAGGGTCGGGGGAACACGACCCACCTACAGTCAAAAGCTCAAGGGTTTTGCTGTTTCTCTCCCAAAGACTATGCACAAACCTAAAGCTACAACTTAAAAGGGGAATTTATGAACCACGTTCATATGCTCATGCCAGATAACAGTATTTAAGGCAAGCTCTGCTATTTTTTACTGAACGTTATTAGAAGCCTTTATCAAATTATTCAAATGTTGACTGACAAAATCCTCACAGACAGACACTGTAACAGACCACAAAAAAGCAAATCAGAATGCCTTGTTATTCCTCTGTTTTCAGGGTACTGGAATAAAAGCAAGCTGGAAAAGAAAGAATGTGCGTAGCAGAGATTCTCTCACCATCTTTTATCTATTTATCAGAACCAAAATGAAGGCCTGTGAAAAGTTCTCAGATGAAGTTAGAAACACTGATGACAGACATGCACCCTCAGATGAGGTGAGTAAGTTTGGGGTTGTTTTTTAAATAAAGTGACTTACAGTAAGGTTCAGTGCATGGTCCTTTCATACTATAGCTAAAGCTGGCAAGAAAGAAAAAGGAAGAGACAGCTGTAGGAAAGTGTTGGTTGCAACAGCACAAAAACAGTCAAGCTGGTACTGAGCTTCACTACAGAATCCTAGSGCCACGATAAAGCCATAAAGAGCAGGCACCAGCATCACACTTTCTCATGTTCAGCAGTTCATAAATTAGAAGTTCAAAGTCGGCATAAATCATAAGAGCTTTACTGTGTTTAAACTGTTGATTTCGTAGCAGTTCAAATTTAATCCATTAYGACAGTTTGTACTTTTATTTTCAGAATCCCTTCCTTGCACCTAATAGGAGGTCGATGTTTATACTTAGCGTGTGTAAAATCTAAGCAAAACTGAGAGTGCTTCTGGGAGGAAGAAAGGCAAGCATTTGTTCTAACACAGAATTCCAAAGAACATACAGAATAACTTTTCTTCCCGAGTATGTTTCATGTTAAATGATAAATAAATAAGTAAATAAAAGCCTTCTCAAACATATCTTGCAGGTCTCTGCAAGTACATAAGCCAGCATGCRTACTATATACTTGCCTAATTATTTGCAAATCATCTTCCTTTGGTCTTTACAGTAAGAAAATCAGACACATAACAGGAGGACCCGACTTTCTTTCAAATACAAGGCAAATGTAGCCATGCTCTTAGTATAACTACCATCAATACACATCCAAGAGCTCAAAGCCAACCCTTCTGCTTCTGATTTCACCTGCACAGATGTCTGTCTGCCTGCCTGCCTTCCTCCCTCCATCATATTTAAGTTTTGCAAAGTCGCTACCAGTGCACGAGGCTTCTGGATTCTCAGTRATTCCCTCAGGAGCTTTTACTGCCAAGCCCAAAGGGCTTCCACATTCATCTGAACTGCTGTAACCTCAAATCCCAACATTGTTGATACATTTTGCATTGGCTAAAAAGATAAAGCGAAACAGTGACAATTTTACCTATGTAGAAATTAACATGTCTTAATATGGATGGAGAAACGTTTCCCACTATTTGACTTTACGCTCTCCTCCTTTGCTTAACCCARCAAACATTCCTCTCAGCCTGAATTTCAAATACTCATTTTCTCCATTTCTATCCCCGCCACCCCCAGCACACCCAGAGCTGAAGATGGCATGTGTAACAGTTTCCACTTGCCCATCTGTTCCTGAAAGACTTGTTATAAAGAACAAGGATTTTTCCTCCTCCTTAAATCTTTGTGCTCTCGCTCTTTACCCTCCCACTACACGCAGTCCAAGCCAGAAGGAAACAAGTTGGAAAGCTGCACAGAACTGAAGCTCCCCTTTTACCTACCCAGCGCTTGCCTTGTACGTAAAGAAAGGCAAACAGGGAACTCATGTTTTCTTTTAAATAATTTCTGCTTTTAGATAAAGTTGTTTATTTTCCCAAGCATTTTTAAGTGATACTGTTCATCCTTACAGGCCTCCTAAGCCTAGTTTATAAGCACTGGTTTTAAAATGCATTTCAGATATTTCTCTCTTAAGAGCAGGATTTTTTTTTCTAGTATTTTTTTAATATTGTACCATGTCATTTTAGAAGTTCATTTCTTTAGAATAAAATTTTGTTTGAAGTTCCATTACATGTGTGGTAGCAACACTGATTGGGGTTTTAGGCAGTATCGGAGCTGGAGAATCCAGGCGTGCATAAAATACAAACTGAAAAGAAGTAAACTAACTTTTGTTATGTGCCAAGTTCTTCATACTCTGCTTTTAAGAACCCTCTAATCAATCTTATTAAATGTACTACTGTTTTGCTTAAAGTCTTTTGATGCAAAAGCAACTCCCATTAATTAGTGTAGTGGAACAGGTCTCTGAACCACTGAGAAGACCTACCTGGAACTGAACTCTTGGACACTGAATAAGAGAGAGGTTACTGCCAATTTTTCTTACAATACTTCGAGATGAACCGTAAGGCTTGCTTGACCAAAGTACCTAGAAGAAAAGGGAGAAAAAAAAAAATGTCACCTGTTAGGCATTTATTTTGTATTTAATATATTTACTGTATACTTGAGGATCAGTTTTTCCTTATCCTTCCAAATTACACTTGAGCTAGTTATACTTTTTTTTCCCCTTTTTTCAAGGGGGATTAGATGTGCCTTCTTTGGTTATGCCTTCTTTTGATTGCTCTGCTATTTATTTTAACTTTACGAAGTAAAATAAGACTTTAATCCTAGCATAATACTAGGAAAAGAGACAGATTAGAAGCCAAAAAAAGAGAGCAGTACAAGCAGGCAACATTTCAGCAGACAAAGGCAATGGGAACAATTCCTAGAGAGAAAAACAAAACAGAACAAAAAAACAAACAAACAAAAAAGAAGAAAGGAAGACCACAGCACAATTAACAGAGCACTTGTTTAATAAACAGTCAGAACACTGGTAATTAAAAAAAAAGGACAGTGTTTACTTATGACTGGAAATTGTACCTGCTGCTCAGGCGCTAGTTTTTACAGCTCATAGCTCCAAGCAAACCCAACATCCTGTAAGGAGGTTGCCCAACACAAAGGCTAGAGCAAGCCCAAGCTATTAACCCCGAAACAGCCCTCCCAGGTAATACCTATATTCTTGGGTGATTAGGAAAATGCAGCTGAGGGGAACTAAAAAAGCACAGCTAAATAATGTTTTGATATGGTAAGCAAAGATCATATTCCTGTACTTTGATAGCTCTATTAAGAAGACTGGTATCTCTCCTGAGATTATATTAGCTCAGAAACTTCATGAGAACATCCTGGTTCTACACTCAGCTATTTTTTCTTTATCTGACTTCAAAGGAACGTATATATTGCGATAAAATAAACGGGCACTGGGCATATTCTACACGGGATGTGCACACCTGAGCTGTCACTTTGCTGCTCCTCCACTCAGACTCCATTTGTCCATTTTCGGAAGTGAACATCCCCTTCCTGATAAACACACAGCTGGCTTCAAATGCAAATTTTAAGAATGTGAAGTATTCTGTTGGTACTACAGAATGGACACATCTATGAATATCATATTATTGTTTGTCTGTGTCTGAACAAAATGGATATAAATCAGGAGTCCTCAAGAAAGAATCACTGGCAAACAGTATCACCCTAAGACAGTGTCATTATTTACAACAGATCTRGCATTAGAAGTAAAAGAGTTGAAAATAGTGAAAAGGTGTTGTTGCTTTGGGAAAAAAAATAAGCAAGCRAAGGCCTGGTAAGGTACACAAGTACTTCCACAACAGCAGGAGAGCCTGGAGGCTCTGTAGGAGCAGCCTAAGTGCAGGGCGCTTCACAGCCTAAGTGCAGGGCACTTCAAGCAATCGGTTACACTTGATTACAGCCTGCTCATATGATGGGAAGAGACATTGACTGGATCCCMGATCCCCAAATACTTTTGGCACCCAGATGCCATCAAGCTTGTCCAGTATCTGTGGTTTGGTGCACCAGAACTTTGAGCTGGTTACTTCCATTAATTCAAGAGATGCCTAGAGAGTATTTTCAGAAAGCTGCATGCAAGCTGTGCCAGAAGGTATGGAAATAAACTCATGGCATTGCTCAGCTAAGCTAAGGAGTCCCAGCTCCACCTGTAACCACATAACTCCCTGTTGACTTGAAGCACTGGCAGAGCAAGTCTGCCAAATATATCTTAGTCATACACCCTGCTTGCATCAGTGCTTTGCTCTTGTGCTGAACAGCTCATCCTCAGAAATGGAGCTGCATTAGCACAAGCTTGATGCACGCAGAGAATGGGGAGAGGGAAAGCAGACTACAACCTGGGTTTCCCCCCTTAATTAGATTGTAAAACGATGCTGAAAATGACYGGGCCAAAACCTACAATATTTTGCTATTTTGAATTTTCAAATCTATATTTCTTGGAAACTCAGGTCCCAGACCTATTTAAATCCTAAAATTAAATCCTAAAATTGCCCAGGGAGGTTGTGGAGTCTCCTTCTCTGGAGATCTTCCAGACCTGCCTGGATGCCGCCCTGTGCTCTGGGTGTCCCTGCTGGAGCAGGAGGTTGRACTAAATGATCTCTAGAGGTCCCTTCCAACCTCAGCCATTCTGTGATTCTGTGAAAATACTGATTCTTATTGGTCACAACAACTTACAAGGCATGTCAGTTTTGCTAATCTATAAACGGCTGGGAATAATAAAAGCTTCCATCTCTATAACCAGAATTAGATCTAGCTATTTCAGGGGGTTAAGCACTGCAAGTAGCTGCTAAGCAATTCCACATTATTAAAATATTAGACTCTTCTGACATCTTACAGAGATTATTGCGCTGAGGTCAATASTTTTGCTAAAAATAGCTCTCTGAAGGAGCCAGCGACACAGCCGTTACTTTGCAGTGGATTTTTCTCTCTCTCTGTCACTCCCTCTCTCTCTGCCAAACACTGGAAGAAAACATACAAGCTGCAAGAGCAGCTTCCTAAGCACATATGCTCCTCTGTTTCCCAATAAAGAGCAGGGACCTTCTGCCCTCATATACCAACCACTCCCAGAAAAAGAGGTAAATGTTGCACAAATGGCATCATCTCAGTTTCCTAGGGCTTTTTATAACCTCAAGACTAGATTAAAATAAGAATATTTAAGAATTATTATCACTGTCAAATGTCAGTTGAAAGGTTTATTCTTCCAGCATGAAAGCACAGTTTACACTGTAGCTACACACGTACTTCAGTGTCCAAGCAGTAAACCCTATCCTTATTCAGCATTTCACACCATGGTATTAAAAAGTGCTAGTACCTTTTAGCAATACTAATACCACAGTATTAAAAAGTGTTTCCCATAGCTGACTTCCTGGAAAAAGATAAAATAAAGTAATAAAGCAAAGCAAGTGGAAACACTCACCGAGTCCATGTTCAATCCAACTTGTTCAAAAGCCATCCTAATTAAACGTTTAATCCAGCAAATCATCTGGAATGGAAAAAGCCTTTTCAAACTTGGATTTAAGCCTTCCAGACCTACAGGGCTGCAGAGGTTCCATAGTCCTTCTGAAAAGAGAAATGGAAACATTTTAGAAGCAGGAAACACATCCAGGACTAAACTGGTACATGCACTCCAAAAACAAGCTTTAGAAACTGTTGCTAAAAAGAACAAAATTTCAAAGCCAACAGTTCCTAGCCCTGCAAAGCGTAGATGTTTATCCCACATGGGCTAYAATTTCTTTTAGTATTATCATTGGTAAGAATCAGAGCTGGTGCAAAACTAATGCTGAMAGAGCAGTGGCAAGAGCTGCTAACCTGAGCTTGCGCGGATGACGGTCTCCAAGAACTGCAAGTGAGCAGAGCACCTGCAGCAGGGCCTGGCCCTCAGRTTAACAGGCCGGGCCCTTGGCTAAAGCTCTTTTGTGCCGCAACCAACTACAGAAAACTCATCATTTCTCTTCATCCACATTCTCTGACAGCTTTCTTTCCTCCATTTTCCCACAACTGAGGAGAGAAAGGAAACATGGAAAAAATGACTAATGCAAGAAAATAACAGGAAACAGCGAAGATGTGGGACCTGCAGATATTCATGTGATTTATGAAGTTGGCCAGAATTCAGATTGTGTCTATTTATATGTACTAACATTTATGTAAAWCAAAATTTTTTTTCTAAATGCTTTATATCAGCCAGAACTTGGATATCATTAAGAAGCCTGTGCTACCAAAAAGGAAGCCATATATTTGGGTTCACATTTGTTTTGCGTATCAGCTAGAAACAAAACTGTGTGGGACCAGCCCAATAACAGATCTGCGGCATGAACAGCAGTCCTGCAGAGCCACTACAGGAGGATGACTAAAGCCATGGAACTGAGATAAACTGACACTCAGGAAGCTTAGGAGTGAGGAGATGGAAAAGCCACCCGGTCTGTAAGTGTTCCCAGGCAGTACAGGGCAACCATCACAGTTTCCATCACAAACACRGGTTTTAGCTGCTTACAGTTGCTTAGGTAATAATAATAATAAGAAGAAGAAGAAGAAGCTATTTCTGATGGAAACTTGGCAAAACCAGCTCAACGCTGCAGATACTTCTYTTATTTTTAAGACAGTTTTAAGCTGTTATTTAACCTTCAGCTCAACTGTCATCTAACTGGAGATCTCAAAGGAGAACATGTCTAAAACCCAGATGCTTTTACCAGGCTTACCAGTTTCCCAGAATTATCCCCAGCCCAACTTGCCAGTCACCTCTGCCAGACTCTATTGCACTACAGGTTGCTTCATAAATCTCAATCATTTCACAATTCTTCTGCGTGCCAAGAACACAAAGGGTGCACTCCAGGTAAAACTGCTGGACAGCAAGATTGAAAACAAATTTTTCTCTCACGCTTTGTGGAGACAGCAATTTCAGAAGTGAGAATTAAATATTTGTTATTTACTGGTCTGGAACGAAGTGTCACTTCAAAAGTTGATGCTTGATTTATCATTAAGAAATAAAGAAATTAAAATCTCTGCATTTTTGAGTCTTGTGGTTCCCACTTCAGTTCCTTGAACTCCCTTTTGCCCCATTTTCCACAGCCACCTTTGCAGGTGTTATTCAATACTTTCATATCGGGTATCAGTCCACAAAAGCTAAGAGGTAACACCACATATAAATTATAAAAGGCTAATAAAATAATTACAAGGGCTCCAGAGGGYATACACAGAAAGTACTGCGGTCGGTATATATGAAATGGAAGCCTTAGCCAGGGCCAGTGCTGCATATGAAAGTTCAGCTAATGACGTGACATCCACAAGGAAATACATTAACAAAGTAATAAAGTTAAAAATCAATAGGAAATGACCAGAGCAGCAACAAACCAAGCAGGCTGGAAGAAGCTTGTGCTAAAGGACTACACGTTTATAGGGAGGACTACATTTACTAGCAACACGTCTGTTTGGCAGAGAACCCACAGCCCTACCCAGAAACCTGCTTGTGGGCTTGGAGGCCACTAAAGATCAGGTGTGCTACTGCTTTCAGGGAGAGCTGCCCAGAAAGAGACGGTGAAACAGATAAAAGCCAGGGAATGCTACAGAAACAGATACGTTAAAAAYAATACATAATTTCAATGTCCGTTTTTAACACTTTTGTAAAAGCAGAGCCTGGTCACACACACCAAGCGTTAGCCAGATAAGGATGCAGACAAAAAACGCCCGCGTTGAGCAACAGTGTGCCCAAAGGGCTTTGCTCAACAGAGATCGCACCACCTACACACACACGGCGCAACGTGCTAGGGTGCCTCTTAAACAACAACGTTGCTGAAGAGACGCCTGAAACACTCTCCAAGCTCTCAGCAGTGACCTCCGGTTCCTGCGCGAGGCAGCTGGATGCCGGCCGGTGGCCGCTATGCGAACGCGAGCTGGATCCCGCACGGTAGCGGGAAGCTGTAGCCACAACGCGGACAAGCTCGGCCGCTCTCCCCGCAGGCGGCGCGGCCACGCGGGGCCTCTCCGTTTCATTCGCTCTCCACGGCGCGGGGCAGCGCCGGGACGTGACCGTGGGCGCGCGGCCCAGCTCCGCGCACGCGCCGCACGCGAGCCCCGCAGCCCGCGACGCGCGGCCCAGCGCGGCCTCCTCCGAGCGCTCCGCACGGCCACGCCAGCCCCAAGCGCGCGAAGGGCAACAGCCAAGGCCCGGAACCCCGACAGCCCCGCGCGGCTGCGGCTCCCCCGGGACCCCCGGGACGGCCCCGCGGTGCGAGGGCGCCCGGGCAGGGGCCGCGGGACCCGCCATGGCCTCACCCGCCGCGCGGCCGCCGCCGCCGCCTCGCTCTCCCAGCCGCGTCTCCGCCCGCCCCCCCGACTCGCGCCAGCCAATCAGCAGCCGCCCCGGCGCCGCGGTGGCCAATAGGTGCCGCGCGGGAGGCGCAGGAGGCGGGTCCTCGGCAGGCGGTGGTTCGGTGACCTACCCGGCAGCCTGCGGGCGCGGAGGGCAGAGAGCGCCCGCGTCACGTGACGCCCCGCCCCCCGGCCCGGCGCGGCCCCATTGGTCACCGCGCATTGGGCTCGTGGCAGTGACGCAGACGCGGGAATCTCGGCGCCGGCCGCGCGGCGGTGACGTCACCGCGGTCGCCTACGAGAAAAACGCTTTTTGGAGTCCCCTAATGTGAAGGTTCGGACCGGACTACAGCTCCCAGCGTGCCGCGCGCRGGGGCAGCAGCCAATCGCGCCGCGCCGCCAGCAAGGCGCGTCGCGAGTGGCCGAGAGCGCCGCCTCCGCCGCCGCCAATGGGCGTGCGCAGCGGCCGGGGGGTGGCGTGCGCGGAGCGGGCC